TATAGAAAAGGGATAAATTAAATACAAATTAAATTAAATAAAAATATTCAAAAAGAAAAAATAAATAGTTCCTCTGGATGAGTTCTTCTTTAATGAAATGTTTCATCTCTCCTCCAAGAGACTTCTTCAGTCTGATGAGTTTCAGGTGAACTCTGCCTTATAAGCACTGCCTCCAACTGTACAAACAGGTTAGCCACATGCAAAATAGGGCCATCGACTAACAATAGGCTTGATTGTAGGGCCATCGACTAACAATAGGCTTGATTGACTCTATTGTTCATAGAGGGTCATGTGCCCCATCACCTGACCTATGTCGTGTTATGTGAATGTAGTGACTGCAAGCGGGGGTTTAACATCCCCTTGTTTTTGTCCCTCCCTCCCTCTTTGTCTTGGTTATTATTTTTTCTTTTGATTTTTTTTCTACCTGGATTACTGAGATGCATCAGGAAATAAAAATATTGTTTTTTTGTGAAGTGCAGTTCATCAGTTTGTTTATCACTAGTTCAAATGAAGCCCATAGAAATCAATTTATCAACATAAAATCATGACTCAAGCTTCTTTCTTTAAGGCTGTTTTGTTCCCTCTCTCACATGATTTATGAAAGAAACAACAGAGGTTTATTGTCGTATTGCTAAAGTATTGTATGGCTGAAAAAATACATGTATATATGTATAAAAGTGGTAAGTATTTTGATAGAAACGTACACATAATCAATTTTGACAGAATATTGATTTGAATAATGAACTTTTTTAAATTCAACTACAAATATCCTCCCCTTTTTTWAAAAAAAGCTGAAATCTCAAGTAAGAAATACAAAAAGACCCTTATAAAAGGAGATTCAAGGATTTCTCAAACAAGGATGAATGAGTCAAAACAACACTCTGTATATTTTTTTCTGATGAGGGAATGACAATGTAACATGATTTAAAGCTCAACAAAGTCAGTTTGGCGTACCCCGCTTAAAGCCTACAAAGGAGTTTAATCTATGTTTTCATTGTGGTGATGCTTATGTTTTTCTACCGTAACATCCATTTGACCTTCCAATGCAGACTTTATTACAATTTTGCACGTCAGGTTACCATTTAAAAATGTCATGTGTTTCATTGAAGCATGTTTCCCACTAATTTCTATCAAAACCAGATGATTTGTCATCAAACAAATAGATGTTATAGAACAACACTGGCACAAAATAGCTATTTATGCATTGAAGAGATGTGAAACATTTAACAGAGCAAAGAAAAGCCTGCAAAAGCTTGCATTGTTTTAGTTATCTGACTTGACTTTGTATCAGTGTGCACCAAAGGACCACATGTCAAGAAGTTTGATGCTTTGAAGCGTTGATAGGAATAAAGAGCTGTAGTGGGAATTGTTATCTTTGATCACCTCAAGAGCTGGAAGCCAAACGGGTCCCATTATCCATCTTCAGATATTTTTTCTTCAAATGATTGACATGCCTACAGCCTAATGTGGGAAAAGAACTAAAGGCCTAATGTTTTCTAATGGTTCACAAGGCTTAACCAATTGGGAACAGCCTCTGATACACTGACAGGGCACAGTTTGACAGATTAAAGTAAAGCATGGTTTAGAGACTTTAACCACGGGAGAGAGACAGACTTGATCCATTTGCCCTTAAGCAGTAGGGAACACAGTGGGTCCTTTGCCTCCAGACTGCAGGTCCGTACGCCGGGTCAAATCAAACTCAGGGAAGCWAAGAGATTTGCACTCAAGCCAGGACTCTAGTGGGCTTAAACAAATGCTAAGTTCAAACTCACTAAATACCCAAAGCAGCACTGAAACACTCTCTTAGACAAGACAAAGATTTATATTTTTACGTCAGGTAAGACCTGWCATACTTTGTTTTGGTGCCCTGCTGTTTTCAGCAAGTATTACACCTTGCTGAAAGGAGTGAARCATTTAGGGATAGACTTTTCTATTTCCTGATCCAAGACACGATACACTTTGCCCAAATTCTACAAAGTTAAATTACATTGATGGCATTCTACAAGCTGCTCACTCTTGTCTTCTACAACTCTAATAAAAAAATGATCCTGCTGCAAACAAAATGCTAAACATAAAGAAAGCAAAACAATTACAACTTTGGCAAAAGCTGGTAACTCGTTGATGTTCAAATTCATAGAAAGGCACATGAGAGGCATAGACTTCTCAGAAAATCTCAGTGGGGATGTCATGATTCATTCAAGCCCCAATTTAATTTGATTATTAATTTTAGGTTCATGATTACAATTATTATTTTTTATTTAACAAAATTTTGTCCTTGTATCAAACTGTCACGGTTTGTTGTCTTAGGGAGAGAATATAACTTCAACATAAATAAAAATATCACCAAAAATCATTTTGTGACCAAAAGTTAACAAATATCAAACTGAATTTGTTTTACTGTTATACAATAATAATGAAATTGATTCATTCATTTTTGTAAATGGGTTAAAATTTTAATCAGTTATAATTGATTATTAATTGATTCTTGAATAACTGGTACATCCCAGAATCTAAGAAAATGCAAATATACAGTATATGCTTTACATATACTCACTAAATCTRATTAAAGAATATCAAATCAAAAAGTAAATGTTTCTTTTCATTGAACTCCAAATGGCCACTCAGCTGCAGATCTCTGTCCATCCTTTCACTTGTTTTGTAAATTGGTCTTTTATTCTGGCTTATTTATCTTTTCAGGAAAGTTGGGTACACTTTGTCTGCCAAGAGACTCCTGTAATTTACCGAGAAGCACATGTTCTCTCCCTCCTCGCCACTTTCACTTTATTACACCTTTCCAAGTTTGCACCTGCGCCTGGAATTTCCATGCTAATTGTAAGATGCATTCGGAGCCGCACTGGCTTATTCCCTCGCAGTTAAAGGGCACGCATGGCTGATTACAGGCAGACAGCAAGGCAAAAGCTCTCCCAGGCTGATGTGTCTGCACGGTGATATACAGCACATCTCTCTTGGTGCTTAGTATGTCTGGAACTAAGTGCAAAAAAATTATAAAATGCTGGTTTGTTGTATAATTTAGGTGTTTTTTTGTAGATAGAAAAAAGATAGAGGTAAAAAGAACAAATATAGGAATTACTCTTTGATGCATGATTTATGTACAGCATCTGACTGAGAGGAAAATAAATGTTTATTCTAAGTTAGACTTTTTTATATTGAACAATAAAATACCTTCTTTCTTGTAAACTTGAGCAGATTCATTTCAGTTAAGAATTTCAAAGTCAGACTTTTTCATTTTTAAGTCTAACCAGACAAGCTAAGCACACATGAGTATAACGCTTGACTCCCAGTGCCGCTAATTAAACATGTGTATTACGGCATGTCATCTCACTTAAGTCCTTATTCCACTTTTCAAATCCACTGTGTCATTTATCAGAAGAACAAAAGCTTTGTCTTCTGAAACACTTGCTCCCATAAGATTCCACTTCACGCTCCGTGTATTTATAGCCACATTTACTGTTTTTTAATTCTTGTTTTCTGCACTTTTCCCTTTCGAGTCTTTGATATGCAGATGTGACTCTTATTCCACAGCCCTCCACCTTCTCTTTTTTATTATTTTCCTCCCTCTCCCCTCAACAGTATGCCAAATCCCGCTCACACAACACTCTGTTCCCMTGAATCAGCAGCTCAAAGGGAGATTTTAGACAATTGAGATGAATCATATTGAGCTGCTGCTTTACAGGTACTGTTTAATAAGGAAATACAGCATGATTTGTGACCATTTTGCATGTGCAAATCGATCTCACTTTTTGCAGCCTGTTGAAATTACCAAAAAGAATATTTGCAAACTGCTGTAATGAAGTGACTGAGAATGTTG